TACACCTGCGTTGCCTCTGCGCCGCATCTCGAGTTATACTTTCATCCCACATCGACCGGCCGGGTCTCCCGCCGTGTCCGACAGCAGATTCCTTTTTTCCTCCCATCTCTCTCTAAACGACTCAAAACAATATCACTTTGATAATCCACTCCAGGGCGAGCGCTGCTCTGAGATCTGAGACATCGCACTCCTCGAGCTTCGCCGTCTAATCCTCTCTGTTTAGCTCCCCTGACCCACAGTGCAGCAGCTTGTTTGTTTACAGGCCTCGTTCAGCGCGCAACGCCCTGCGTTTGGCCCCCGGCGCCTGTTTCACCTCCCGTTAGCGACGCCTTCCCCCATTTGCATCCACGTGATGAGCTTTAGAGGAGGAGAAGCAACCAGACGAACAAGAGCTTGAGCCGCTTTCAGTTCTTTCAAATGCTCGCGGGGACATCTAGTGTTGGCCGACGAAAGGAAAAGGAAATGCTTTTTTTTTCGCGCACCCTTCTTTCGAAACCAACAGCTGACATGCTAAATCCTCAACTAAAAGGCCGGCGTGCTTAAGAGGAAGGTTGTCCAGGCTGGTCACCTCGGGGTGATTCACACTTTAAAGAAGGATTATTGATGGACCACATATGTGGCCACTAGATATTGAAAGATATGTGAGGATGAAGATGAATGTAAGACGAATCCTCACACGCTCTTAAATCCAGAGTTGTGGTTTGTGGTGCTGTTGAAGAGTAATGCATTAAACAGAGAACACGTTGTGCCATTCATCATGCCCTCTGACATGGATCGATTGCACTGAATAATAGAATCTCTAGTATCTCTCAGAAGGAAGCCGCACACGGACCGACTGCAGCCCCCCAAATCGCTGCGCGGTAACGCCTTTCCTGAGCCCTTCCCCCCCCAGAAATGGGGGGACTCTCTGAAGAACCTGCTATTTTTTTTGCTTTGGCCCCTGGAGAAAGTGAAAAGAGGGTGTGTTATTCCCCGCGGTTTCTCTTTTTTTTTTGGGCGCGGTGTATTAATTTTTTTTTCTTCTCCCCCCCCCCCCCCCCCCCGCTGCCCACTGCTTTGATAAGCTCCCATCAAGAAACCACTCCAAGCCGCTCCTCCAGCAGACACATTTACCAGTCAAAGAGCACCGCAATCAACAAAGTTCACGCCAGGCCGAAACCCTCCAAGCGGCCACTTTGTAAGCTGCTACTATGAAATGAAAAATTCAAATGGCGACAAAAGTGATGCTTGAGACTGTTCGGGGGGGGGCGAGCGGGATAAGTTGCCCAGGATTTGTGTCTCCAAAGCGTCGCAGAGAGGGAATGGAGCTGCAGCACTTCCTTTGGCAAGAGTCAAAAGGGAATCAGTCCGAACCGTTTGGCTGGATGGCGTCACAGCTGGAGACCAAAACAACATCTTTGGTGGTGCAGACGGAAAGCCAAGCTCACCGATTCAACATCTGCAGGAAATGAAGTGTCAATTCGGACAAAAGGGGAAAGAAATCCATGTTTGACAAACACGTCGCAGGATGTTGCGACTATTTGTGTTTTCCATTTCTTCTTTGTCCCCTTTGGCTCCAAACACACAGTACTGTTGATGTAAATCCGGGTAAAGCGCTTCTTTCCTTTTCCTTGGACGCTGAATGTAGGAACTTAACAGGGAAGATAAAGAGAAGAGGCGAACAATGAACTAATGTTTTCATACTCGTGGGGTCGCATGTTGTTCTTTAGTTTGGCAGCACTCGTTTGCTCAGGAGGAAGAATTTCTAGAGACGCAAAATATTGCATGAGATCTCTTTGGTCTGGTGATTAGAAAATGTTTTATTATTATTATTTTGTTTCTTCCACAACTTGTCTTACATTGTACTTTGTGTTGTTTATGCTATAGGCTATAAGAACAGCACAAGACCTATTCCATCACCTTTCATAGTAACCAGATCTAAATAATATGTTTTTCTTTTAACAAATGTTAAATGTTTTCTCCATAATCATCAAACATCTTCTCGATTGACGTCGTTCGTCCCTCTTGTGGTGTCATAGACTTGAAGAAAATATGTAAACGTGTAAATTTGTTTATCCCATTTGTAATCTAAATCTTCTGGTGAGATGTTTAGCTTTGCTGAAGCGCATTATTCCCTCAACAGCTTTAACAAGACCCCCTGTTTGAACCGCCTCACTCTATGACCCCGTTCACCCGCTGCGACCTCGAGGTGACATAACATTTTCTTCCAAACTGATCAATCGTACTTCAGCCGTTTAGCGGTGAGGTAACTCTGAAGAGTGATGATGGACTGACTGGATGTGACGAATGATGAAGTGCAGTCGTGCATTTCCCTCCTCCGTGCCGAACATGGAATCTATCTCATCGAATGGGGAGAAGGCTCCGCACGCGCCTCCTCCTTTTAGCCCTTTTGGGAAATCACGTTTTCTCCGGCTGGCGCATGTGCCGTGCACAAGTTTCTTTCGATTGTGTTCTCACTGTTGAATCTTCTTTCACCAAATGAAGAGCAAGAACACCGTGTCCAACAGTATGTTTGTCTTCGTCCCTCCAGCAGGTAGAACCTCCATCTTTAAATGGATTTTCATCACATCCATCGAATATTTAACCTACAGTGGCCTTGCAGGCAAGTTATCAAGCTATATTTGTTTTATTATAGAACTGTTTATTACGAGTAAACCATATGAGGGAGAACAATTTAAATCTCAGCACCCCCCACAGTCCTTGTAGTAACTGGAGTAATCAGCGAGTAATGTGTGCATTTAAAAGTGAGTAATGGCTTTGTTAACTTTACACAGTATAAATCAACAGCTCAGACGTGTGGTTAATACCTTTATGGACACAACAACCCTCGAAATACACAACAAAAAACACAAATAAAGTACCTCACCACCAAGATGAATGCCCATGGTCAGCAACAAAATAAAGAGCGCGGCTGAGTAATGGCAAACAGTGTGAGGCTAAAGGAAGACCCATTATGGTGTTGGGTAACGTGAGGAGGGTTACAACAGGCCTAATAATGTTAGCAAATGGCATGACAGCTCTTAAGCTAATGTCCAAAATGAGTGCGAAGAAGGTGCTTAAAAGCCTGAGCTTCTTTGAAAATGTTGTCAAAAGGTTAAACTGGGCATTTGATTCTTCTTCAGCGTTTCGTCTTAAGTGCTGTTTTTTTCCACTGGAATGAAAAAAAAACATCCTACTTAATGATTTGATTTTGACTTGCTTGTGAAAATACTTGTACATGTCTAAATGAACCAACCGCACGCTGCCGATACAAAAACAATAATAATTGTAGAACCCTGAAATTCAACCATCCAGACAGAAACTAGCGGGTCCCCTCAGCTAGTGGGAAGAAGTTTCCACGGTGACCAAGTTGGGGGCCCCGGTGCCCGTTTTTAACCCGGCTCCCGGTCCAGCTCTCTCACCGGCAACCGTTGCATCATGTGAGTGCCGTACTCATTATTGTGCCCGCGTCTCTCAAACCTCTCCCCTCTGGAAATGTGTGTGTGTGGAAGTCAAACTAGACAAGCCAAGCAGTTGTTCCCCTTTGTAAGAGTGTGTGTGCGTGTGTGTGTGTGTGTGTGTCACATCCAGGTGAGTGTGACAGATCGGGGGCTTCACTACAGAGTCAAGGCCTCCATCTTTCTGTATTATTCATGAGAGTCTGGGTTGTCTCGTTGGCACGCCGCGTCGGCAAACAGCATGTATGGAGCAGCGGCACAAATAATGGGAAGCAGCAGCGCGGTGTTGTAGCAACACCTGGTGCTCACTGTGTGAATACTAAATGATCTGCAGAAACATCTCAAGTGGGTTCGCCAAGTCTCCGCTGAACGGTGGTTTCCTTCTCAAAGAATAATCAGGAAGGAAAAATATGAACTTAAGTATATTTTGTTTCACGGCAACATTTCACACTCGCCCTCGTGGGCTGACGGCAGCGTCTGACACTTGTGTCAGCACAAGTAGAGAGAAACTACAGGCCTGATTTTCATGAAAGGATGCACGGGGCCAAGGATGAGCCTTTTACATGAGGAGCATGAGGAGATTCACGGGGCGGATACACGAAGTATTTCTTCAGTCCAATTATTTATTTAATTAACATTGGAGCAGAGGACGCGGCGCCGTTGGAGTTGTAAGCTCCACAAGTTCCATTCAAGCTTTCCTTCTAATTCACATAGTTCTACATTTTTCAAAACTATCATGTAAAATAACCTGTAAATTATTTCAGAAAAACTTGAGAGTTGCAGAGGAAAATGTTATTGCTACTTGGCGTGCTACATAGCACGCCAAGTAGCAATAACATTTTCATTATATATATATATATATATATATATATATATATATATATATATATATATATATATATATATATATATATATAATGTAAGGCTTGATGAGTCGACTGTCAGCACACGGTGGGCATCTTGCTTCCGTCAGCTCGCTCACCCATAACATGTGTTGCTAGTGGTACATGTACTTTTTAAATAACCATAACTTTTCAACCCGATTTTTAAACGGTTTGGCTTGTTATAAACGTCAGAGAAACTTATGAATAATGATGGTATGTTCTAGAAAATAAAATGTTCTATAGTAGGTACAATATTTCCCTTTACAAATATGCATCAATGCTACATATGGAAATCCCCATCCTGTACAGAGATGCATTTATGTTTTTATTTGAAAATAACGTAAAGCAGAACATTATAAGTATGCAGCCTCCCTTAATTAAAATGATTCCTGCACATGAGAATGTCTTGACATTTTATAAATATTCCCCCACACAATTCTCTAGTTGTTAATGTGAATATACTTACATTACACACCTTTCGTCTTCCCCAATGCTGCTGTGGTTGCTAATGTAGGTCATCTGTATGCACTAAATAACCGTGATAACCCGCCGAAAGAAGAAACCGCGTGGCTCCTCCTTCTGGTCATGTTGTTATTTCTCCGCTTGTCTTTGAACGCAGCACCAGCTCCACCAACCTGTTGCACCGCCGGGGGAGGGAAACGCCTCCTCCTCCTCCTCCTCCTCCTCCCCCCGTCTCTGTGAGCTCCGCCTCGGCTCTCCCTCACACCGCTACTCGCCTCTCGTCGCCGCGCACACATGGCCGCTCACCGGGTGATCGTCTACGGGGGAAGAGGAGCTCTGGGCTCCAAGTGCGTGCAGCACTTCAAATCCAAAGGATGGGTGAGTATGCTAACGCTAGCCGGATGCTAACGCGGCGGCGCTGCGCGACCCCCCCCGCTTAACCGCACCGTGTTCGCTCCCGTCATGTCGGCAGTGGGTCGCGTGCATCGACATGGCTGCGAACGAGGAGGCGAACGAGAACGTGGTCGTGGGGTCGAGCGGAGATTTCACCGAGCAGGCCGGACAGGTGAGCCGCGCGCGAGTTATTCGCGTTACGCTTTTGTTTCCGCGGAGGTTTCTGTGTCCTCGACGTCACGCCGGAGAGACGCCGGGTCAGTGGCGTCGGATGAAGGCTCGCTTTCGTCCGGGATCCGGGATCGATCGATGTGATGTGTTTTATATGTGTTTTTGTTAATTGCTCACGTTTTGCCAATTGGTATGCTAATGCGGCGTTCAAGTCACCGCTGAAAAGCTCGTAAACAACTGTTGTTGTTGTTAGTTTTAGTTTTTTCATTGATAAATTAAAAAAAAACTTTTTCTTTTTTTTTAATTGCACACCTTTTCGGGGGTGGAGGGGCTGTTATAATGGTAGAGGACACACTGGGTCAGTATATCAACCATATTTGTTTTATTTGGCTTGTTCACATGATTTCTTTTGTTATGTTATCCCCTTTATAATAAACCAACCGGACGTTATCAACACACATTCATCACCTGCTGTGAATGTTTTTTTGTTGTTTTTTTTGCCGTCCTGAACGCAGAATGTGTGTTGAATGTTTCCGGCCGGTGTTCGGTTTGAGAGGCCGTCTCTCTCCGTGGCGTCTCCGTGAAAAGGAGTCAGTGCTTCTCTCTTGTTTGGTGCAGGTGACGACAGATGTGGCCAAGTTGCTAGGCGAACAGAAAGTGGACGCCATCTTCTGCGTGGCGGGAGGGTGGGCGGGAGGAAGCTGTAGTTCCAAAGGTCAGAGTTCAACCTTTTTGTTTGCTGTAACATTAATCATCAGCTGTGTCTCTCCTGCAGCCAAATCACGTGCAAAATATATAATATAAGTAGCCACATAATTAGGATAAATCTTTTTTCGACCCCCTCTCTCGCCCGTCTCTCGGATTTTCACAAAAAACGCCGATCTGGATGGGGAAACAGGAGCTTGTGATGTCCCAATTCTCAGGCCCCTTCGCCCGCGGCCCCAGAAAACCAGGCGGCTTGTTTACTCTTGTCCGGGGCCAAAAGCGGCCCTTTCGGGCCCCGGAGGTAAGAAAAACAAACAAAACACCGAGCGAGCGCCCGGTCCCCCATGGGGATGACTTGTTCGGGCCCGCGAGTCACGTCGGGCTGGGGGGCCCCCCTTTGATGTTTCGGAGCCTGCGAGGTGCATATAGTTTTGGTGTCCACCCTGTGGTTTCAAATCACGCGGGTGATGGAAACCCCCGGGGGGTTTTGCCCCGGCGAATTGCCCTCCCAATCCCGGGGGGGGGGGGGGGGGGGGGAGTCTCGCACGCTCTCTTTGAGGGGAAGAGAGGTCAATAAAATGGATCCGAGCATCAAAACAAGAGGAAAGGAGACACAATAGCCGCTGTGTGGAAGTAGACGTTTGCCTGTGTGCAACCCTTTACTTTGTTAAGTGTCCTTGAGCGTTTAAATGTCTCATTTCTCTCTGCGAGGGCGGCTGAGTAACAAAGATGTGACCGATGAGGGTTGATTAAAGCGGCTGAGGAGGACTGACTATTGAGAAAATAACCGGAAGGTTGAATGATAATAAAGATCATTTTTAGTTGCATCCTTATTGGGAAAAAAACAAACATGAAAGAACAAATTGTATAATTACGATGCCTTGAACTTTTATATAATTGATGATTTCTTAATCCTTTTTTAATAGTTTTTTTAATTCTTTTTGGACATCGGTCCCGTGGTAAAAGAGGCGGGGCTTGTCCTCTCCATAGTAAACCATTGTCCATGTGACACCAGCCGGCCTCCAGAGGGGATTTGCTTCTGTGTCATGTGATGTCCAAGCTGACCGCCCGATGGGGCCGAGGTCCACCTCCAGGGCCTCTCAGCACGAAGCCCATTGGCTGCTGGCTCATGAGGAGGGTGACTCAGCAGTTTCTGGCTCCGCACACATTCTCCACCAGGACGGCCCGCGTTAACTGCAGTTTGCCGTTCCTGGTCTATTGTTTTCTTTTGACGGCGGTTGTAAACGTGTTTATAAGGAACCTTTCTGCCCATCAAACAAAAATATATTTTGTGCTCTCAATCAATCACCAGTTGCTTTTTTGAAATTGTGAAGCCAGTCGGTTGCCCGACCTCGTGCAGGGCTTTTTAATAATCCTCCCCTTTTGGATTTAGGGTTTAAGACGGACCCGAGACCCAGACGGAGAGGAGCCTTTTCTCTGCTCTACATGTGACTTTCTGTTTTTTTTTTTTTACATAATCCCCCAATCTGATTATTCTCTCAAATATGCAAACTATATTTGTCAGTGTTGTGATGCACATATACCCAATGGTCTCTGATGTAAAGACGCTTTGTCCACCTGCTCGTCCCTCCCTCGTCCCCGTGAGAATACTCCTCACAGTAAAAGGTTTGGTTTATTCAAGGGAGGCTTTCCACCCACGCTCAGAACGTCCCTATGCGTGTAGGGCTGAACATCTGCATCCACATGTGGCCCGCGGGGGGGGAACCAGGCGTCTGAAGCTCCGGGTCGGACGTGTGTTGTGTCGACGTCACTCGCCTCTGGACTTCAGCGCGAGCGCCGTCTGGAACTCTCGGGCCTCCTCGTTCAGATTCTCTCTCCTGGTGAAAATCTTGAGGACAAAAGCCGCGTCCCCGCCCCCGGTTCCCATTGGCCGTGAGGTTGGCTTTAGTCGGGAGGGCGGGGGGGGGCGGATGCTTGGCATTCTTCAGAAAGCTCCACTTACTCTTTCCAGATGCTGAAGCTGCGAAACTTCCCCCCCTTTTATTCGGTTTCCTCATCAAACTAGAGGGAAGACTTTTGATACGACTTCATCCTTTAAAAGCCGTTTTCCACGTGGTCTCCTAAAACTCATCTCCCACCTGCCTCCCCCCTCCTCCCTCCCCCCTCAGGCATGGCGGGCTACGGCATGGCCAAAGCTGCCGTCCACCAGCTGTGTCAGAGTCTGGCAGAAAAGAACAGCGGGATGCCGCCAGGAGCCGCCGCCGTGGCCATTCTGCCGTGAGTACTGCAGGGGGGAGGACCGGTGACGCCGGCAGCCCGTGGTTGTACCAAGCGAAGTAAAGCCACGACTTACCCGTCACCGATGCACGCGTTTAAATACACAGGCCGCCTCGCCCTGTCGAGCCTGGCGGACCCGCGGGGAAGGGCGAGCTTGTAGATGGCCTGGCTGTCACGTGGTTTGTGCGCATGATCACATTTAACTGACTGACGCACACGCGGAGGCGTTTGCGTCATTGCGTCGTCGCCTCTTCATTGAATTCAGCCCATTTGTATTTCCTTTTTTTCTTTTTGCGCCGTCGCGGTGTTTTCTCTCTCGGTGTAGCTTCTTCTCTCCGGCGCGCTGCAACATCTGTTCGGCATTAGCGGCGTGACTTGCATTTCTGTTAAAGACAACCTCCCCCCCTCCTGCTGCACCGTTGCGTACCAGCACTTTGCAGCTTTAGTGCATGAGGGACAGTCCAGTGTTCCAAAGCTTAAATCTATTCATGTATTTACATTTTACATCTGGGAAAAATGACTGCGTGATATTTGATTTGTCACAAATCTGATAATGAAACACAAGGCGAATTGGAGCTCTGTTTCTGTTCTCCCTGCCCCCCTCCCCCCTCTCTTGTTCTCTCTGCCCCGCTCCCCCTGATTGCCATCTGGCTTAATTTGACAGGGTTACCTTGGATACGCCGATGAACAGGAAGTTCATGTCCGACGCAGACTTCGGCTCCTGGACTCCGCTGGAGTACATCGCAGAGTGAGTGCTGCGTCTCCTCGGCGTTTACGGGCCGCTCGACGTCATTGATTGATTGATTGATTGACACAGCGGTGCCTGTTAATGTATTATAACACACACACGTAGTCATGTAACAAAGTCTTCGAAGGTACGGTTGCTTGTTGCTTTTCATGGGACCAATGGAAGATGAGACCCACACGAGGCTCCGCCTCCCAGACGACACTAATTCCTGCCGTTCTGAGCCTGTGGGTGTCGCACTAACACTGGACCGCCCGTTGTTGGGTAGCGATCGCTTCCCGACTGATGTTTGTATTTCTCTCTTTGGTTTTGTTTCCAGAATGTTCTTCAACTGGACCTCAGGAGTGAACCGGCCGGCTTCAGGGAGCCTCATCCAGCTGCTGACCTCCGGGGGGGAAACTCAGGCTGTGGCCGCGCAGTAGAGGACACAGAGCAGCTGATGCGGGGGGGGGGGGATGGAGAAGCTCAGAGGCACTCGCAGAGGAAGGGGGGTATGAGGGAGAGATGGTAACAGGGAGGAGGTGGACGCCATAAGGAGGTCTCAGAGCTCCATCTAGCTGTGGGTCCTTGTATCCAGTGATGGGATTTGCACTACAAGCTTGAAGTCCTATTCAAGGTGGTGTTTGAGAAATCAGTGAAGTTAAACCAGCTAACACCCCCCCCCCCCCCCCTGCCAGTGTGACATGACATCTGTAGACTGTGTTTTGTGTTTTTTTAAGTCCTTCCTCCACTGCGGAAACCTCGAAGGTCAAAGAAAAACGGCGTCCCCTCGTGTGTGGGAGGGGGGGGGGAGGCGACGTGGCCTTAATGTCTGTCGTGTTGTTGTAACTGTGGAAATCCCAATAAAATCGGTCCCCAAAACAGTCTTGACCTTTTTTATAGGCGGTTGACAAAAATAAAGCAACAAACCTCATTACAAGACTTACAATTGAAAGCTCCAGACCTGCTTCTGATTGGACCTCCCGCCGGGCCTGTCGGGTCAATCAGAGGATCAGAACATGGGAAAACCAACTCTAAACGGATTTTAAAAAGACTTGATAAGCGCTGCGTCTCAACCAGCACTCATGTGTTTGGGCAAAGATAAAAGTCCGAACCAAATGTGCTGTTATGAGTATTAATAATAAGACATTAGCTATTCCTGTTGGTATTGTCTTTTTTTTTATAATAGTAAATTAAAAATCGGTCCAAGAGGTTTTCCATTCTTGTGTTTGCCACATATATTTGTAAAAAAGAACCCAAATGTATCTCCTAAAACGGAAGTTTTTAGTGAATGTTAATAATCAGTCTGCATACAGAGGTGAAGCTCCGGCACGATGAATGAGCTGTCAGCTTTTAGCTTCATATTTACAAGAACTACATTGCAAAATCCCCAGTCTGACACCCACCTGTGTGTTGTGTAAACGGCCACTAGATGGCGCTCTGATCTTAAGGTGAAGTCGCCGTCACACACGTGAGTTGACAGCGCATCCGAACACGTGTCCACAGAAAGGAAGTGACTCAAATATCCTTCACTGTGAACACTAAACTCGGTTTAATTAAAAGTTGGAATATGATGGGACTATTTACAGGTTATTTTAAACACACACACACACACACATGAAGTACATGTGATTTGGGCCTTTAGTCTCACGGTCCACAATTCCAGGGGACTTCATGTTGACAAGCACCGTGCCATAAATCACCATGCTGAGGATTAATAGCAAGGAGCAAAGCGCCCTGCTTACTGTACCTGATATGTATTTATTCTAGGAAGCGTGGTAATTCATCTCCCCGTGTGTGTGTGTGTGTGTGTGAAGGCCCGAGGCGAACACGTCTGCACACACTCCCTCCCGTGACGTCGGCATGCGTGGAGGGACGGAGTCAACGTTTATCACACAAAGCGTCTCAGCGGATCACGCGTCACCGCTCAGGACGCTCGGAGAGCGTCTGCGGTGCTTCTGAGTGTCGTGCACGTCTCACCTGTGACGGAGGACGCGAGAATGAAGGGCGACTCATGTGAGTTAATGTTTTGTGGTGGGGGGGGGTCACGCCAGGTCAACAGGGCCATTTAACCCAATGGGACAAGCAGCTAGGCCTTTTTCACCACAATGGACCTCGTAATGTGCTCAATGCTCTGTTGGAAGTATCGAAATAACCAGATGTGAGTCGTGAGGAAGTGGTGATGGTCCCCTGTCTGTATTATCTTGCTGACCTTGATTTGCACGCCGCCGTCCTCTCGGCTCATTTATGGACAAAAAAACGCTGATTTTTTTTTGGCATATGAACCTCTCCACCTGGAGCGAGCGTGAGCACCTGTTGTCTTTAGGGTGGCTCATGATTTATGAATCATATTTATCTGAGAGACACTCTTAGACGCCATGAAATGAAGGTCAGATAAACCATGCGTTTAAAGCAGACCCAGGATCTAAGCTCAGGGCGCCGCAGTACTGATTCATTTCCATCCTAC